TATATTCATAATAAAAAAAAATTTTTTTTTAAAAAAATCAATGGAGTCTTAAACACTAAGACTAGACTTTTAATTTTTCATGTCATATATAGTATATGACTTTTTTAGTAATAGCATTGACTTTATGGTAGTTAATGCATATCTATAACTTACTATTCTTTTTAGCAATTAATACTACAGAGGAGGTCCAAGGGCTATAGAATTCTTTAATGAGGCCACTTTCTAACATTTTTTTAACTTCTCCTTTTAAGAACTTTTGTTCACTAGAGGCTGATCAGTAGGTAGCTTGTTTAATAGAGTGAGTATCTCCAGTATCTATTTGATACTTAACCAGATTTGTCTTACCTAAGTCAGTTAATCCTTTTGCAGATAGATTTTTAAAGTTTTCTAACAAATTTTTTGCTTCTTTTATTTTTTTCTTTTAGTTCTCCTTTAATTAATTCTTTTATTGGTGTCGAGGCCTCTGGGTAGTCAATTGTGATTTCTTCTATAAAAGCAGAAAAACTAGTAGACTACAAACATCTTTTCATGAATTAAGATATAACTTGTTTTCTTTCTTAGTTGCTTCACCAGTTTAATATCCTTTTGCTTCTTCTAGTAACTCATTCTTATAATCAAATTTATCAAAAGTATCACCACTATTACTATCTTTCTTAATAGGTCTTTGGAGTTGTTTCTTACTAGTATGAGATATTTTTGTCTTAGTTGTCTGGCTCTAGTAAGTTATAAATAATTTATCCACATCAAAGTATAGTCGAGTTTTTGATTTTTGAAACCAATTAGTTCCTAATAAGAATATTTCATTTTGGAATCAATAATCTAGAAGTTAACTGAGGTTATTATACCTTTGACCACTTTCTTTAGACTTTCTATTTTTCCTAATATCCTTTCTCTAGCTCCAGTGGCTATTACTATGTAATGTTAGAAGGTTTTTTAATTTTTAGTCTGACTTTATCTGCTAGAGGTTTTGTAATTAAACTAATAGTAGCTCTTGTATTTAAAATAGCTACTACAGGATTATTTTGGATTTTTATATAATATCTTATAGTGGTCATTCTATAAGTAACTCTGAGTTAGGCATAATTAGTTTCTACTAGAATTCTAATAAGATGAAGAGCTTAGACTAAATTACGATATTGGTTAGAGTATTTTAATAATTTACTAACAAGGTCTGGCAATCTTAGTGTAGTAGTTAGGTTGCCGGACCGCTATACAAGAGGTCTAGGGTTCAAATCCCACTGTATACAGAATTGAATAATTACCTAGATATCTGTATCCAACTTACAGTAAACTCTGTTCGTTTCTGGGGTTGTAACCCTGTAAATCATGTTGTACTAATACAAATCGGGTATTAGAAGTGTGATGAGGCATTTGGCAAGGCATAACGTTACACGAATAAATCTTGATAGGATCTACGGGCCAGGGACCTGCATAGTAGAAATCCCGAATTAGGTAAAGTAGTATAGATTTTAATGGTCTTACAGTTAACGTCTGATCTAGAAAAAGAAATCTGCATACGAAAGGATCAGCAAAATAGATATGAGTAAGTTTTGAGTACAGAAGGATCGATAAAACAGATGCAAGTAAGTCCATTACATAAGGTCGTATGGCAACACCAACCTGGCTTGGCAGCTAACTGGATTTGGGAGGATCTGTCTCATGTGATATTTGGTGGCAAAGCAGGCAACACCAAGTAACAGATTTGGGAGAATCTATTTCATATGATATTTGGAAGCATGGATAACTAACTTGGTGAAAGACCACAGTAGAAACTGGGTTTGTACGAACATCAAACAAGGGTATATGCAAGCTAGATTGGGATATATGTTGCATAGTTGAGTACTACAGCACTCATCGATTTGGAAGTTAGTAAAAGGGTACCTGAAATAGGCCTAGACTTCAAATCATAAAGTTTGTGGATATATATCAGCTTGGGTATCTTCCTGGAGAAGTAGCACAGGGTTAGGCTAGCTTAGTATAAATAGATAGAAATGGGTAAGTCATGGAGCCAGAGGGTTTAAATAAGGAATCTTCAAATAGATTTCAGATATCGCAACTAGTGTAGAAACTTCGAGCAGACTACTTAAATAGACAATCTAAAGTTGTACATGTGACTAGTTGTATTCTCATAATATGTATCATTACCTACTATCAAATAACTAATAAAGTTTCAGCTGATGGTATTTATATATAAAAAAAAAAAAAAGAAAAAAAAAAAAATAATAATAATTGACTAACAGTAGCATTTGACCTAAGGTTTAATAGGTCATTAGCTACATTATAAGGTTCAAGTATATCTACTATTGAGAGTGCTCTCTTAAATTTAGGACATAGTCATATAGGTTCCTCCTCATTCACCCTATTTCTACTCAAATTCTCCTCTATAGTCATAGGTTTTTGGTTTAGTTCTAGTTCTACTGGATTTCTTCTTTTCAAATGTTCCTCTCAAATTGATTTAGAATTTCTAATCAGATAGTCCTTATTTCTTACTGTATAGGATTAGTAGTACTCTGAGGTATTAACTAATACTTCTGCTCTTTCTTCAATACTGCAATAATCAATATTGTACAGGCATTGAGGTATTTGGTTAAATGGTACTAGATTTGGATTTTTTCTCTTATACCTAAGGTTATTTCTTTTGGGTCTCCTTTCTACAGTTTAATTGTGAGAGATAT